TCACTTTTGATGAATAAACTTGTATTTTGAATTTTCTGAATGAATTCCGGAAACTTTTTGATCAAGCTAGTATAATCTGAAACTCGCAAATTGTATTAACCCCTATACCTTAACCTCTCTGAAAACGCCAAAATCAGCTGTCACTATGAACCATTCTCAACAGCCGAAGCCATCTTTTGGAAAACGGACCTAATTTCTACTCCTAATAACTTTTATTTTAGAATAAGACGTGAATGACAGAATGATTCTGTCATTCACGTCTTATTCTAAATTAATATAAAGTTATACTAGTAATTATGTTTGGTAAAATGGACTGAAAATTTGCATAAAGAAACTTTACTTCATAATTTTATAAGATATTATAAAACAAAATTTACTAAATTAACTTATTGAGTTTTCAATTTCATTTATTAAAATTCTACAACTTATTTACATATGTATTTTTCGTCTGAGGATCCATTAAACTATCTCTTCTATGGATATAGTCGGCACGCTTCTATTTTGAGGATTTAGTACAGAGACAAACCACATCTACTTTCAACAATACAATTTTATCGAAGTGTCAGAAAATGTATAATCATGTTTCTCAAATTGAAAATGGATGTATTTGCGGTAGTGTATAGGCAATTTCGACAACTGAAAAAAAAATCGGCATAGTTTCTCTCAGGTTTCTCTCTGTACATGAATATCCTGTTCAGAGAGTGAGAGAGAGAGAGAAACCTGAGAGAGGACATGACGGCTCAAAATCTGTAATCGCAAAATGCTGCACTACTGCCCTCTGTCAAAGGATGTAAATGTGGATGTAAATGTCATGTTTCCTCTCTCAGATTTTTCTCTGATTATTATCTAGCGCCCCCAGCGGATTTCGGATAATATGAGGGTCACATAAAATCGAGTCCCATGGACCCAGTTGGCATCATGATAGTTGCACGACCATTAAAAAAGGATCATATCCTTTACAGAATCGCATACAAATTAAGCAGGTTTGAAGCACATGTCTAGTAATTCCTTCAATGTAACAATTTTAAGAATTTATTTTTTAAAATAATCGATTGAATTAAAAGAAATATTATTCGAAAGATATTTTTTATTAACAATGTCAATATTGTGTTCTATTAAATAACAGACGATTTTTATGAAAAGAAGTTTTAAAAGTAATGCTTTGAAGGAGAGTGTATCGTATTGCCCACTTCACCAATTGGTTAATTTAATCTCATTGGTGAAGCAGTAAGAAATTACTAGGAACAGAGCAATGTGAGTGATGTGTGCTAAACTTTGGCAAGTGCACCACTCCCCTTTGAAAGATGGATGAACATATCTACTTTGATTATAATTTAATGATCCATTTAAAACAAATAGGTAAATTTACTTCTGCACACTGGACGCGAAAACGCTTGCCGCGCGGCAAAATTTGATGCGGTAGCCAATAAGCTTACAGTTCCTAACGTGTTCATTGATTACCTCCTCTCGTTTCCACGTCCAGTGTGCAGAAGCCATAAAGGTTAAATGTATTAGGTGTTGGAATTAATTCGTAGCGTTTTTAGTGAAAGAATGTTATTTATTTCACATGAGCATTAAAAAATACATTAATGAAAGTACTTCCCATCACTTGTAAAACGCTACGAATTAATTCCAACACCTAATATTAAAATAGTTCTGAGATTTTATAACAGCGGATTCAACAGTTGAGTGAGCGCTCACTATTATTGGTGTATCCTTTTAAATCATCCAATCAGTATTTTAGATCTGAAAGAATATATTGGGTCATCTAAAAAGTATCCGCGATACTTTGTCACTAGATATATGACCATCAACACACATCTAGTGACAAAAAACCGCGGATACTTTTTAGATGACCCAATATATTCTATATAATATAGCCACGAGTGCTCACTCAATTGTTGAGTCCACTGTAGCCATTGAGCGCTTAGTGAGCGGTTGTATGCCGGTATTCATAGTCGGTTCTTTTAGGACCGTCTTAAGTAAAGTTTTAAGTCGCTAATGCGGCCGTCTGATTGATTCATGACATCTTAAGACTGTACTTAAAATGATTTTATTCATAAGATCCGATTACGGCCATAGTACTTTATTATTTTTCATGCATTTAATTTTAATTGGTCAATTTCTTAGGCTCTGTTTCACAACTCTCAATTAACTCTTAACGGAGGTTCAACTTATTAGCTACGTTCAGCAAAAAGAGTAATTTTGCAACCATTGTAAAATTCTTAAATATGATTAATATATATAGTTAAATTTATATAGTTAAATTTATATAGTTAAATTCAATGAAAAACTAAAGGCAAGATCAATTATATTAAAGAATTTTACAATTGCGAAACTACTTTTTCTGCAGAACGCAGCCATTATCTCTTTCCAATTCTAGAATTAGAAAGAGATGAAGAATAAGTTGAACCTTGATTAAGAGTTAACTATGGATTGTGGAACTGGGCCTTATGGTTTAAGCCATGATCAGATTGATGTATTGAAGATTGAGATTGAGATTAAGATTAACGTTCGACCAATGAGAATAAAACAGGTCGAGATTGAGATTGCAGATTGAAATGTAATGCTTCGTTTATTTTTCTAATCTTCACCCATGTGAAACAGTATAATCTATAATTATATTGTTTCACATGGGTTTCGACTTTCTATGAGAAGCAACTCCCCCTCCCTCCCTCTTTCTCATCTCTCTGCAAATGGGGCGCGTTACGTCTTCTATAATTGTACAGGGTGGGCCATCTATTGGTACGTTTTTGAATTTCGTCGTATGGCAACACCGAACGAGCTACAGACCCGAAATTTTGACAGTTTATTAGTCATACCGCGGCACGAAACAACATGTTTTCTCTTGAAGAGCGTTTTGAAATTTTAAAAACTTATTTTCAAAGTCAGTGCTGTGTCGCCGAAACTGTACGAATTTTGAAAAGAAATATGGGTCGTGATAGAGCACCCACCGAAGGAGCTATACGCAAATTGGTGAGGAAAGTTCGTGAGAAAGGGATGTTAGTGGATGACAGAAGTGGTCCCAGAGCTCGGACAGTGCGCACACCCGAGAATATTGAGGCTGTGGCCCAAAGTGTGAGACAGAATCCGACGACTTCAACTCGACGCCGATCGCAGCAACTGAGCATTAGTCGCACCAGCCTGAGGAGAATACTGAGGAGAATACACAAAGACCTCGGATTATTCGCCTACAAGATCCAGATGACTCAGGAGTTGAAAGCAAATGACCATCCGCTTCGATATCAGTTTGCTGTGTGGGCTATAGACCAGCTCAATAATGACGTCGATTTTGGTCGAAAAATCATCTTTTCGGACGAAGCTCATTTCCATCTCGGCGGATATGTGAACAAGCAAAATTGCCGGATTTGGGGCTCGGAACAGCCACACACAATCGTAGAGAGACCAATGCATCCTCCAAGAGTCACAGTTTGGTGTGGATTTTGGAGTGGTGGCATAATTGGCCCATTTTTCTTCGAAAATGATGCTGGAAACGCCGTTACCGTCAATGGCGAACGCTACAGAGCCATGTTGACCAACTTTTTATGGCCTCAAATCGACACTATGAATGTGGACGACCTTTGGTTTCAACAAGATGGCGCCACATGCCATACAAGCCGACTTACCATCGACCTTCTGCGCACCAAGTTCAACAACCGCATAATCAGCCGTTCAGGAGATGTCAATTGGCCTGCGCGTAGCTGCGATTTGACACCGCTGGACTTTTTCCTATGGGGTGCCGTTAAAGACCGATGTTATGCGGATAATCCAGAGACAATTCCAGCTTTGAAAAACAATATTACGACTGTTTTGAGTGAAATTGGCGCCGAGGTAGTCCAAAATGTCATTAATAATTGGGGTGACCGAATGGCATACTATAAGGCCAGTAGAGGGAGCCACATGAACGAAATCGTTTTTCATTCTTGACGCGGATACTTTTAGCTTCACAACAAAAAAAAAATTAATAAAAAATATCAATGTATGCTCATTTGATCGCATTTTTAAAAACGTACCAATAGATGGCCCACCCTGTAGTTGTTAAAGTTAGAAAATCTGTCGTGTAGACAGTGGGATGTATAGACTAATGTTTATTTTTGTTCGGCGTAGCCGCCCCGAACAAAAAGAATAACATATTTTACCTGCTTGGGGACTAACTATCTAGAAATTAGATAGTTAGGCAATCTAGACAGTAAAAAGACCGCTCTAAAGACTATTCTAACATCCCATTGTTTTCATGGGATAGAAATATTTCCAAGCGGACACTGTCTACGCTGCAACTTCTAGGCGGTTAGACCCCAAGCGGATAGAATATGTAATTTTTTTTTCATCTGGGATGACGTACCGTCCTGAACTGATAAGTACTAGTCTATACGCCTGACTGTCTACATGACAAATTTTCTAACCTCAACAACAATACAATTATAGAAGTCGTGCGTTCCTTTGTAAGGGGGAGGGAAGATGAGTGTCGCTTCGCGTAAAAAGTCGAAACCCATGAAACAATTTAATTATAAATTTTGTCTCTGTGACAGATTTCCTAACCTCAATAGCTATCGACTTTAACGCTTAATATCTCGGCTCACAGGACAGAGCGATGCATTTTTTTGCAGATTCTTTCGTTTTATGCAAAAACGCGTTGACTAAGCTTAATTTCATCAAAATCAGCAAGCAGAACACAACTCTTGAGTATTAAGGCTTAAACACAACTGGCACAGGCAACAGGGAATAACGAGCCGTCCAATCAGAGCTCTGGTGCGTAAGTTTGATATTATATCTCAAAGATCTGATTGGACAGCTCGTTATTCCCTGTTCTTTGTGCCTATTGTGTTTAAACTTTTATCTCAATTTTTATCACGTTACCTATTTTGTTGCCGAAAACGAGCATCGAGCATTAGCATGAAAAGGCCTTTAAAGCTTAAGACACTTATTGTAGATCCGAACTAACAGACCTGAATCTTACATAAAAAGCGATGAATTGATTGGCTACTGCGTAGGAGCAAGTGATAGGTTATGTGACTGTTTTCCTATTTTTTCGAATCAAGTAAATCAATAAGTTAGAACCAATCCCATTCGATTGCTGTTGATCTGCTCAGAGTGCTCAGTGAACATTAGGTGGTAGTACTAGATATATTCGCTTTTGCGGTTCCCGCGAAGTTTCGCATAACCTCTTTTCTTCGCTTTTCGCGAGTGTTCCACACCCCTATCGCTTAGGTTAGCGACATATATCATTGTTAACATCTACTCGACGATTGCCAAAACCTGACGCGTAATAAAAACGTACCTATCTCTTACTGAATAATGAAAACTTTAGATAACGAAGAGATTTGTAGATTTGTGTGTGATTTGGCAGTTTGTTCTTATTAGCGACGTGTACTAAGTGTCGTACGAATCCCTTTGTGAATGCACGCGAAGAGAACGAACGATGAATACAACTGCGAGATTCGCGCGAATGTTGTGATTGGCGCGAAAATTGCAAAAAATTGACGGACACAATAAATTTTTTGTTGTCTCATAGATTTTACGTTACTCCCTTGAAAGAAAAATAAGATAGATGAGACAGATTAATCTTACATGATCCGCAAGTTCACGTCTGTGTTAAGTGATAATCTCACGTAGTGTAGTGTTCATTCTTCAAAATACTTTTAAACGGCCAACCACCAAATGTCAAAGAACAAACTCAACTTAACATTACCACCTGGCTCAATAGAACCGGTACCAGAAGCATCTCCTTCACCGCCGGTTCCGCCTGCATATCCGGAACCTCCGGAAATGCCTGAGTAAGTCCGGAAACAAGGATGTTTTATTATTTTTATGAAATATTATTTTCATGTAATAATGTGTGTGTGTGTGTGTGTGTATTTACACACGTTATACATTCTTAATATATATGTAGTTTAAGCTGTTTATATATACATGTATATTAACAATTTAACATTCAGCAGAGAAAACTAATCAATTAATGCTTGTGATGATTCTTCAATATAATTGATGCCTACATTTAGATCCAGTAAAGAACTAAAGGCAAGAACTAATATTAAAGAATTAGTTAGCACTAACTGATTAGTTTTTTTTGCTGAACGTAGCCAATATATCATATTGTATATATTATCAGTGTACAATGTTCCTATCTTACTACAGAACTTTAATGTAAAAATTACCTAGTTTATAAATACTTATAAGTTTACAATAAATCGATAGTTGGAAATTTTAAATCTTAATCTAAACAGGTGACTATAACTTTACATTTACAATTTGTTAGTTGTACAGCGAATCGTTTAGCATTTCAGCTAATGAAAAAGAATAAAATCGAATTTGGTCAGTCTTAAGAAAATTGGTGATCTTATGTCCATTTCCACTAATGTAGATTAACTTTAATCTCGGTTCAACTTATTCTCCATCTTTTCCTAATCTTTAGAATTAGAAAAAGATGAGAGTAAGTTGAACCGAGATTAAAGTTAATCTACATTGATGGAAACGAGCATTAGTCATATAAGTTGGTTATTCATCGATTCACTGATAAAGCTAATTCTACAATGAGTTGGTAGTCAGTAGTCCTAAGTCGTATCGGTGAATCGGTGAAATTGGCCACAGCCAACTTGACAAAACAACTAAGACTATCGATTTTCTTAAGATTGAGCAAATTCGATTTTATTTGATTTTATTCCATTAGACGAACTAAATGACTCGCTGTACAACTAACAACTAGTAGATGCGAAAAATCTAGTTACCTACTTAGGTTAAAACTTAAGATTTTTAATTACCGACTCATTGTAGAATCAGCATAAAATTTAGGACTAGCAATTGTTGCCTCATTATAGAATCAGCTTTATACGATTTTAAACAAGTGTACTTTATGCTGTAAAACATCTATGACTTGAAGATCTCAACCTTAATTCATTTCTGATTATTTGAAATAATTGCGAAATTTTCATAAACTAATTCTTATGAGCTTATTTGAGTTTGAAAGATTTCTGTCTTTTTGAAATTATTATCTGGAACTTTATCATCATATAAATCTAATACTATATTTTTTGCAGCGGCATGAGGGACACATTGAATATTGATACTCTTCAAGCAAGATTAGAAGATCTAGAAATGGACGAGGAACAAAAGAAACGACTAGAGAGCTTTCTCGGACAAAAAGAAAAAGTTGGAGAACTATGCGGCGAGGATTTTGAAAAGTTAGGTGAATTAGGTTCGGGTAATGGTGGCGTTGTTACAAAAGTCAAACATAAAAAATATGGTCTTATAATGGCAATGAAGGTAAATGATCGTATACTTAATCATTATATATGTATTCATAGGCGCATTTAGAATGTCTATTCTATACTCACTGGTATTTTTGTCTCAAATTTTTCAGCAAATACGCTTGGAAGTGAAGCCACCTATCAAGAAGCAAATAATTAGAGAATTAAAAGTCCTTCATGAATGTAACTTTGCACATATAGTTGGATTTTATGGCGCTTTTTGCAGGTAAACTTTTCAGAAATGTTTACATTTTAAGAAGATTGTTCCTTGAGACACATGTGCTTACATGCATGTATAATATTGCACGCACGCGCGCGCTCGCCCACAAAGCGCTCTTGTATAGATAAGGTGGACTAAACTATGTTGAAATGTTATCTACCATTTTGCAATTTTCGCAATGGTTAATGAAATATTGATTTTTTTTCCATAATATTATAGAAATCTTCGAAGACGAATTCAAATCACTATCAAAATGTCACTTTTATTGATGTTTTATTGATGCTTGATATCAAATTTGCAGTATTATTTCTAACAGCAATACTTATGACCTTCGACTAGACACATACACACACACACACACACATATACATACATACATGCATAAATATATATATATATATATATATATATGTACTTATTTAACCTTTAAGTAGATATACGAATTGATTGGGCATTCCAGGCAGTTTTTCTTAAATATTTCATATTTTTCGATTGGCAACAGAGCTCACCAATTTAGTATCTTCCTTATCGAATACTTGACAGATTGAAGTGGTAGTAGTTCGTCGATATAATTTATATAACATTAATAAAGCGTTAAACATGCGCTGAAGATGTGTGAATACCTCACACACCTACAAAAATTCAAAGGTTAATAAAATGTTCAATAGAATCAATAAAACATCAATAAAAGTGACATTTCGATAGTGATTTGAATTCGTCTTGAAAATCCATGTAATATTATAGAACAAAAAAAATGGTATGATGCTATTTACAAAATTTAAGATGACTTTGATTTGTTAATGAAAAAAATTTTGTTTCAATTTTTTTGTCGCGTGTCATAGTCTGTATAAAATAGATGAATATTCATCTTTCAACTTTTTTTTAACTGTCGAAAGAGTTTGAAAAGTCGTGCGTTATACTGAACACCCTGTATACATATGTATGCGTGCGCGTGCGTGTATATACATATATACAGGTTGTCTTTGCATACAGTGCAAAATTGCTACAGCGGGTATTATATATGTGTACTATCTCTTTCAGTGGAGGAGAAATTTGTATATGTATGGAATATATGGATGGTGGATCATTAGACCTAATAATGAAAAAAGCGGGACGAATTCCAGAATCCATGATAAGTACAATCACATGTGCTGTAAGTCAGTTTTATTATTGATATAAATAAAGAGAAAAAGAGAAAAATGGGATCTCGCAGTTAGAATAAATTCTATCGTGATAACTTTTTTTCTAATTAATAAAAAAATAAATTGTAATAATGAATATAACAGTCGATCTCTGATCGACTAATCGTAATAACGCCTGAAACGTGAGATATCCGTAGAGAGGGGAGGGGGAGGGGAGGGAGAGAGAGAGAGAGAGAGAGAGAGAGAGAGAGAGAGAGAGAAAGATCTGTAACGAATCGTTGCGAATAATACATGTTACTATCCATAAAGCAGAAACGTCCGAAATACATATCAGGTAGATGTCACCTAAAGATATCATATCCTAAATATATCTCTATGATGTATTTTGAACACATCTATTGTGTGGGTTGGTAGATGGTTTTCTGCGCGCTTTCTTCTAACCATCCTCTCTCTCTGTGGAAGAAAAAATGGTAGTGCTTTCAATAGTACGTTTCTCTTTCCATAATTCCTCTTGGAAAGAGACGAATACATAAACGTCTCAATTCGTCGTAGATCCAAAGAAATGCACCGAGCGGCAAACTAGGCCAATACCAGTAAGCCATCAGTGGCATAGTCTTCAGTACGTATTCCGTACCTGGGACATAGAGCAAGAGCCCTGTTAGAATAATTTCGAAAACGAAGGAAAAATTGACAAACCAGTTGCTCATTCCTTGTTGAAAGATAGAATTGCGCCTGGTCTTACACATGACCAGATCTACCATTTGCGTTATGACAATGGAAAGAAAATATCCGCTTTGCGCCTCCATCAATAGATTCATTCTGTTTTTGTAGGTCCACGTTTGGCCCCAGGAATCTTGTAGATCATTTATGGATGGGTTCTCCCATTCTATTCGTAAACCCAACAAACGATCGGGCATAAAGCCGTTCATCATAAGCACCATGAAGTAAGTGTAAAATCCAGCGAACGCCTGCGTCATTCCTATCTGGCCATAGGTGATGGATATCAAACGTTTGTTCACCAGCTTGTCGTACTGAGGGTTTCTCGGTGCCCGGCGCATTATATCGGACTCGGCTTTCTCATAGGCCAGAGCAATCGCAGGCACGACGTCAGTGCCGACGTCTATGCAGATGACCAGTTCAATGACCAACGGTAGAGGAATCGAGAATAATAGGCCGCTCAACATGGGCAACATCTCCGGCACGCTTGACGTTAACGTATACGCAATCGACTTCTTCAAATTGTCGAATATCAGTCGGCCCTCCTCGACGCCGGTCACAATCGACGCAAAGTTATCGTCCATGAGTATCATATCTGCAGCGTTCTTGGCAACGTCGGAGCCCGCGATCCCCATCGCTACTCCTATGTCGGCTTTCCGCAATGCCGGCGAATCGTTGACACCGTCGCCGGTGACCGCGACGATCTCTCCCAGCCGTTGGCAACTCTCGACAATCAACAGCTTTTGCTGCGGCGACGTCCTCGCGAACACGATTTCCTCGTAACGGCGTACAATGTTGTCCAACTCGCTTACATCCATGTTCCTCAATTCGGCACCGGTAATTACAATCGCGCCAACATCGACCACTTCAAAATCAGTCACTTGCGTGTAAGACTTGTTCTGCGCGAGAATCGCACGTTCGTAATGAGTTTCGTGACCTTCGCTTATAATACCCACTTTCTTGGCAATTGCCATCGCCGTCACCGGATGATCACCCGTCACCATGATCACCTTTATACCGGCGGTACGGCACTTGTGTACCGCCTCGGTCACGCCAGGCCTTGGAGGATCCTGCAGACTTATCAGCCCCACGAATCTATATCCCTTGACGGGAAAGTTGTAGGACGCGGGCGAATCGGTGTCGAATTTATAATTTGGCCCGTACACACTGCTGGGCAGATGCAGATCGCAGTACGCTAGAACTCGCTCGCCAAGATAACCCAGTTCGGTGCAGGCACGGCGAGATATCGCGTGATCGTTGGCGGTCATCTCTTTCGTTTCCCCGGTCGCCGTCAGTATCCTTGTACAATTTTCCATAATCACCTCTGGTGCCCCTTTCAATATCATGGTATAACCGTCGGTATCTCGGTGTATCGACATTTGATACTTGGTCATGGAACTGAAAGGAATCTCGGCAACTTTCGGATGTGCCTCGCGATACCTCTGCGTAGGATGAATATGCTCGCAGAACTTTAGAATACCGGTCTCAGATGCGTCACCGATAATCTCGCGCTCCTCGATCGGTGCCAGCATGAAGGACTCGGCGATGAATTCGGCACGCAAACAGAGAGTGGCAGCTCGTAACATTACGTCAAAATCTGGCTTCTCTAACAGCAAATCCCTCTCGACGCCGATTCTCTGGCCCGGTGGAAAGTTATATCTGGTGTGACCGAACCACAAATTAGACACGGACATCTTGTTCTGGGTGAGCGTGCCCGTCTTGTCGGAACAGATCGCCGACGTCGAGCCTAGAGTCTCGACCGCCTCCAGGTTCTTCACCAAGCAATTCTTGCTCGCCATTTTCTGAGCGGTCAGTGTCAAAACTGTCGTCACGGTCACCAGCAGTACTTCGGGTACGTTGGCGATAACTATGCCGAGTAGATAGGTGAACGCTCGTACGAGACTTGGCTCGATCAACAGTGACAGAGCGAAGAACGTCAAGCCGCATATAATGGCCACAATAGTGATAATTTCGACGAAATGCCTAATCTCCTTGGCGATTGGCGTCTCGGTTTTGACAAGCTGCGACGTGAGACCAGCCAGACGGCCTATCATAGTACGGTCACCCGTGGCGATCACGATCCCTTTGCCTTCACCCGCGACAGCGAATGACGTGGAAAAGGCTACATTGGAGGACTCAAGAGGATTTCGGTCGGTCGGATAATCGGTACGCACCACCGGCTCGCTCTCGCCAGTTATGCTCGAGTTCTCGACTCTAAGCCCACGGCACTCGATTATTCTGATGTCAGCTGGTATCTTATCGCCCATGCGTATCTCTATCAAGTCGCCCAAGACCAGCTCTTCCGTACCCAGGCGCAGTTTTGCATCATCGCGTATTACAGTAGCGAAAGTGGGCACCATCTTTTTGAAGGACTCCATCACTTTAATATTTTTGCTCTCTTGTATGTACGCAAACACCCCCGAGGTGATGCATATCATAACGATGATTATTCCTAGCCACGCGATACCGACGTCCTCCTCGTGCGTGACATAAGTGACTATGTACAGGATGAAACATAGAAGCGCGCAAACCCAGAGTAACGCCGCGAATCCATGGAACATGCATTTAAAGAATTTGATGTATTCTGGCGTGACCTTAGGCGGTGACAAGGCGTTTGGTCCATCTCGTTCCATGATTTTGCATGCCTGCTCCTTTGTCAGGCCCGTTTCCGCGTTTGTGCCCAGCTTCTCGCACAGAAGCTCCAATTTTATCAAGTGATCAACGGTCTCCAATTCCTGATGCAGTTCTCGTATCTCCTCCTCGGTCAGCTTCTTCTTATGTAAGTGTATGGAGGAACGAATCGGTTGATGCATCATGATCATTTGTTACCTCTTCAAACTGCCCTGCACTTTTTAACATGACAAACATTTTTAATATCGAAATTTTGTAAATTGTTTTAATACGATTGACGCAAAAAAAGAAACACGTACCTCTCTTCCTCTCTTTCTTTTCGCTTCGTATACTTCATTCGTCGTTTGTTTATGTGTTAATATATGTCATTGCAAACTTTTGTTTTTCCTTTACTTTTAGGTTCTGAAAGGTTTAACTTATTTACGAGATAAGCACGCCATAATGCACCGGGATGTAAAACCAAGCAACATCTTGGTGAACAGCGCGGGTGAAATCAAGCTCTGCGATTTTGGCGTTTCTGGACAACTGATCGATTCAATGGCTCATTCGTTCGTCGGTACACGAAGTTATATGTCGGTAAGCTTGGCGTGGATTATACGCTCGTGATATTTTACGCGTGCCAATATGCCCCGAGCGTGTCTTATATCGAGCGTTTTCAGCCAGAAAGACTCCAAGGATCACATTACTCAGTGCAAAGCGACATTTGGTCGCTCGGTGTGTCACTCGTGGAAATGGCGATTGGGATGTATCCTATTCCACCGCCAGATGATAGGCTTTTAGCTTCTATATTTGGTTCGGAATGGATACAACACGCTGGGGAGAATCCGGCAACAATCAGCGAATCCTCCACGCCGCCTCCACGACCACCGACGAGACGTTGTCAGTACTTGCATGAGCGTTCATTCGTTTATTCGCATTCTTGCATGTTTTTTTCATGAAGAAAAGTTTTGTTCCTAAATATCAATCGACTTGATTTTTTATCATCATAGGCACGCACACTCCTAAGCCATTAGCGGTATTCGAACTGTTGGAATTGATAGTCAACGAACCACCACCAAGACTGCCATCCGGATTATTCAGCAATGCTTTCATAGATTTTATTGATCGGTGTTTAAAAAGGAACCCAAATGATAGAGCAGATTTGAAAACGTTAACGGTATGTTTCGCTCGCGAATAAACAGTGATAGTTTGAACAGAAAGGGAAACGGAAAAATTATGTTTTCCAATGGTGTGTTTCAGAATCACGAATGGATAAGGAAAGCTGAATCGGAAAACGTAGATCTCGCTGGATGGGTATGTCGTACTATGGACCTAGAGCCGTCTACGCCAACGCACTTATCGACCGTGCAATCCTGAATAAATGTAACTCTTACATACTTGACTACGTATATTCGCGTTCAGTACTCCTAAGTTACGCCTTGGTTCAGCTAGGTTTTCATTCGATCAAACAGTGGCGTATATATCTCTCTTTTATATCCCTCCCCTAGCAATATCTTTTTACAAAATTAATACAATAAGGAATAAAAAGCTTTTGAGAGTCAATGCTGGATGTTATTGCAATTATGTTTTATTATACGTATACAATAATTGAAATAGACGTTTCGACGACTCACTTGTCATGGATCTAAATTCGGATTTATAGTCATGATAAGCGAGTTTTCAACATCGCATGATATGCCAGTACTCAAAACAGCTATTAAATTTGGTAATTTAATGGATATTGATATATGGATGCGAATTGACTTATCCAGATACACATTATTCACAATTCAAATTACGATAAATAAATATTCTTATCATTAATGTTATATTTACTGAAGAAGATCCAAACCAAGGATCGAAACGTCTATTTCAATTATTATATACGTACAGTAAAACGTTAATTGCCATAACATTCAGCATTGGCTCTCAAAGGCTTTTTAATCCTTATTGATTTAATTCATTAGAGCCTATATAGAATTTTTATAGTTTAAAATTAATATATCTACGTTTTTGATAGGTGCGTCAAGTTCGTTGATCGTATCAAATGAACATCGTATCTCTATTGACTGTTGAACGTTATGTTACGACTGTTACGCAAATGATTACACAGATAGATTTTACTTATGAAAACAGTCATAAGGAATTCGGTTAATATCCCATTGTTATGCATCTTTGTCACTTTCTTGGTTTTTACAGGGAGAAATGACTACATTGTAATACATGTAATAATTCATCAAGTATCACCGTGATTTACAGGTAAAACACTTGTCTTGCGGACTGGATATGTCATATTTTGCTCAGACTTTGCAAATTTACACGCAGCACGCCACTGTGCTAAATATTAATTTCATTCATAAGATTCACTTTACGTGTTCGTCTTATGCTTCTGTTAAGAGTATGTAAGATGACAAATTGCAATATAAGTTTATTATTAGATTCATGGGCAAATTGTGTTCCCCGTGATATGATATTAGGATGCGCGAATGAGCATTAAACCTACGAACGTCGTTTGAGAAAATTAATTAGATCGAGAATTACTTGTATAAGATTTGTACCTGACATCCATAGAAATGTTATTTACACGATCAAAAATTTCATCTTTAATCATGTTAAACCATTGTTTTTGTATCAATGCATAACTTTGATTAAACACGGTTGCCGTCTTATTTTCAATCACGCGCGTTAACACGTACGAATTAACACATGTCTTTAATTTTAATTGCACGCGCGCGCACATCACATACACGCGCGCACGCACGCACACAACACACACACACACACACAGAGAGAGAGAGAGAGAGAGAGAGAGAGAGCCATAGAAATACAAAACGCGCTTTTTACTATATAGTATAGTAATAGTAATCATTTTCAAAAAAGGCAATTTAGAAAGAATATTTTGATAATATAATTAAAGTCTTTAAAATTAATTCGCTTTCGATTATAAAAAGTCTTGCGAATTTATTAACATTAATGTATAAACTTACATTTAATAGACTATTATGTATTTAAGATGTAAAAGACCAACTCTATCATCGCATAATCAATCCTTCAATGGCGAACATACAAAGTAAAAAAAAAACTTGTCTCATTTTCACATAATTGTAATTTACATTACGAATAATGAAATATTCATAACATGGTTTGAGCTATTTATATACTCGATAGAATTTAGAATATTACGTTATGAATTCTTTCGCTGCAAAATATATGTGCATACAGTGAGTGATATTCTCGATTCCTTCCTAGTGCTAAATGTGCGATAAAGACTGGATTTATTGTCGGTATTTCACATTAATTTAAAAATATAAAATGCATGATAGTAGTAGAGTGAAGTATCTCACATTATTATTTATTAATGAATAATAAAAATGAAAAACATATGTATACATATGTATATGTCTGTTTTTTTTCATTGCTATTATCCATCGACAATTCATTCAAATGTGTGTGTGTGTGCGCGTGTACACGCACATAAGTATACATAATCCAACAAAAAAATTGATCTTTTGTATGACCAATTGCATGTCAAATCTTATTGTGCAATTTTTATGAAAAATGTCTTGTCATTTTACGGCAAGTTGATTAATGGTCAACTTAAAATTTATGAATATTTGAAAAATTAAATTAAAATGACAATTGAATTTCTCTTCATTTCAGTATTGTCTTATTATCACTTGTATGCGTCATTATATGTAAATTACTGTAATTTTCCGCAATTTAAACAGACATTCAATTATGCAATGCTTATTTAACTGTTATATTAATATTTGTATAAAAGTTAACAGACTGGACTATTTCACACAGAGAATGTATACTAATAGATAAATGTGCAATAGGATCATTGTGAGGAAACACGAATAGATTGCGAATATGTTAAATCATGATATTAGATGCATTTCGTTTCACGCATGATGCCCATGATATATCATTTTATCGACCTTGTTCTTCATTGAATATTAAAGAAAGATAAAATGAGACATCATACATGAAACGGAACGCACTCATTACGATTTGTCATTCGTTGAAATTGTCTTGTGCAGAATATATTATATTTTGTAGATATAATCTACAAGTTAGTCTCATATTACATGTAATAACTGTCTCAGAGTTGGATAAAAAAATCCGGATAAAATATTACGAGTATTATATTGTAATACTTGTGTGCCGTGTGAGATACTTCTCCGTGTGTGTATGTGTATCGGCAAGAGCGTAAGACGCTCAAGAATTAAAATCATGTTACGTTTATATCGCGATTAATACAATAATATATATATATATATATAAAAGGCATATAATGCATATATTGTTGTAAAATGGTTTCTATTATCTATCATAGAGGAAGACAATATACACGATTAAAAATTATCCATGAAAAGATCGTGTCGTAAAGTGTATGGGAATGCCAATATAATTTAGCAATTTTATCAAGCGATGATTCATAATTTTGCGCAAAGTTCGTAATTCCTAGCACTTATTAAAATATGTGCACATTCCTTGTTGCATATACATATGTGCATAATAATTGCAGTTGTATTGATTCATTGTCTAAACGTTAATTATAAATACAATAAAATCATCGATGTTGTAATTCAATATTCGGTATCTGAAAACCCAAGTGCACAATTATATATAATAATGATAGAGTGAGGAGAGTAAGGAGACTGAGGAAAATAAAATGTTCTCTAGGAAAAGTCAGATATGCAGGTATGTATCAATTTATAATAGATAAAATTTATGTTTGCTGAACTTTATTTTATTGCACTGTATATTATCGCGTAATATAACAAACTTAGTATAATATATGTACATTATGCGCGTGTGTGTGTATGTGTGTAAATGTTATTGCACTTTATTATCGCATAATATAATGAAATTTAAAAAAAAGTGTAGGGGTGTGTGTGTGTGTGTGTGTGTGTGTGTGTGTGTGTGTGTACACATCGTAGATATTGTATATTCATAAATTTGGTTGTAGCGTTATATATTCATGGGAATAAGTATATATAAAGTCAATCATTATTATTAACAAGACAAAATCTTATGTCTACAATAACTGTAAGTATAATTGTAAGTGGTTGTAGAAGACTGACCAATCAAATCGAATGTGAGAATATTCGACTGCAATTAATCAATTCTTACAATTATAATTATAGCTACGCTTACAGCATTAAGCCTATTCTACAATAGTCGTAAGCATAGTTGTAGATGGCTGTAGTTGCAAGAATTGACCAATCAAATATGAGGAGAATATTCGACTGTGATTGGTCAATTCTTACAATTACGCTTACGACTATTGTGAAACAAGCATTATACCTATTCTACAATAGCCGTAAACATAATTGCAAGTGTGGTTATAGTTGTAAGAATTAACTAATCACAGTCAAAAATAGTGAAAACAATATGTGACTGTGATTGGTCAATTTTTACAATTACAATCACTTATAACAATGCTTACGCAATTATAAAATAGGCATTAAAAATCTCAATGATAAACGCTAAAGCCGGCGGGACACGATACTTGTTTCCCTACTGGATTACATTCTTGACACCATATTGGCTGCAATGCACTGTCAACTGATCTAGGTAGCAATCCATTGTAGAAAAAATCGGTTAGAATCATAGAAAATTATGAGAAATACAGATATTCTTAAGAATCCGAATCGATATACAACTAATGACCTAATTCGTCAGATGACCATATTCACTGTAATCATTTTCTGAATATTCCGTCTATTCGGAATATTCTGTATAATCGGAATATTCCGTATAATCTGAATCTTCATCATGCCAAGATTCCAGATCGTCCACAAGATACATAGTAGACACACTGCTAAGATCAGACAAATCAACATTAACTATATGCAATAGCGGAGGTAGTCTCTCTAAACCAAAGAGGTCGAAAATTGCTGTTCCCCCAATTATCATCTTCAACATTACATTATTAGTTCGACTGCTACAAACATCTTTAGCAACCTCGAGGGTAGAGTCCTTGATATATCTACATCCAGAGAGATCTAACAATTTTAACTGGGGCGAGGACTTTATGAGCATTGTTATGCCCCGATCGCTAAAGGGACATCTTCGACACTCCAATTCTTTCAATCCACACATATTTTTTAAACCTTCGTCAGTAACTTGATGTATATAACTGACGACCAATTTTTCTAGCTTTATTAATGTAGCAATAGCCGCTAATCCGGCATCGCTCACGTTACAGCAACCTGTTGGATGTGTAAGATATAATTGAAAAATGATAAATATAAAAAACACACGCGCGCGCGCGCGCAATTTACCTGTAATGTCTACGTTGATAAGCTGTTGACAATGTTGTACTAAATCAGCAAGGAAATCGTCCGATACTTTAGGATTATACGTGATTTTTAAATCATGCAGATTGACAAGGTGGACTAAATATAACATGTCCGCTGTTTGTGTGGAGGGAAAGTTTCCATTAAGCTCCAATATTCTAAGATTTTTACAATGTTGACTGATAATTTCCAACGTATGTTTAGCTATGCCGACACATTCGTTTATTGCAAGATGTGTCAAATTTTCAAGTTTCCTCAGAGCCTGCACGTAATGATGTCAATTGAGTGCTAACTCAATACTGTAACCGTTCACTGGTCGCTTAGAGAACTAGTCAGCTCATATATCAAGGCATATGTTCGTCATGTTTGGTCCGCACGCACGCATACACGCGTGTGAACAGTTGCAGTACTGAATTAACTGTGACACATGCAGGGAATGGAAGTAATTTATTTATAACGAAGTTACAGTTACAAGTTACTTTTTTTGATAGCTTACTGATAACTATTATTCTTTTTTAGTAATTATAATGGTAACGAATTTTACAGTTATTTTTTGTATTTTGAACCTGATATATTTGATGACATAATTTTACTCAATCTTTAGTCTTTAGATATAGTGTTCATAATTTGTTCTAATTTCAAGACCCTTTTAATGTCTTAAAATATAAATATGCCTCTGTGATTAGTTCATTTATTATTAAATTTAAGATAACTTATTGTTTTTTAAAAGAGAAAGAGTTTTTTCATCCAAACTTGATTTTTGCATAATATGTAAGATTAAATCTACATATATTGGGTCATCTAAAAAGTATCCGCGGTTTTTGTCACTAGATGGTGTTGACTATCAATATCATCTAGTGACAAAAAACCGCGGATACTTTTTAGATGACCCAATATATCAAATATTGCAAATTGTGCGCCAATTAAATTTCCTATCTTAAAAAACAATCCTAATTAAAACTGAAATAGTAATATGACAAATTAAATTTACAAGTAATTTAATGATATATTTAAGTTGAGTGATAAGCATCTTAAAGTATTATGAAAAATTTATTGTGAAAAATATCAGCCGAATAACGTTTCAAGATTGAAAATTTAATTGGATAGATTGATATAGATAGATTGGTGTATAGATATTGCAGAATTGAAGATACATATTGTATATTCATTCAAATATTAAGACTTGACTTTTTCGTGACGATAAATGACTTGCTACGTTAAAGCTTTATTTTTATTCCTTAAAAAGGATAATGATTTTGTAATCCTAGGTATTTCAGAATTACGAAATTGTTTAAAAAAAAAATTAAAAGATAAAGTTAATGTCATTGTTATATATTGTTTTTATCAACATTTGAAGAAAAAATATTACAAAGTATATTTTTGAGACTGATTGTATTTTAGTACTTATTTTTAAATTGATTTTAAAACAAGTAACAAATAATTACGTTTTAAATAATGGTTTTAATTAAATAACTGTAACAAGCTATTTTTTAAAATCAGTAATTAGTAACGATAACTTGTTACTTTTGAAAAGTAACTTTCCATTCTCTGATCACATGTATCTTATTGTGATTAATTAGCGAAAAAGAATTGATTTACCATTGAAAGATGATTGTCCTGAAGATAGTCGCAGCGGTCTAATATAATTGTATGCATAGTTTGCTCTGGCAAACATAATAAGGATTTACCCAAAATATTATTTCTGGTTATCACAAGACACTCCAAGTTTTGATTTAGCTTAAAGAGATACTTTAATTCATTATCACAACTGTAGGTGGATGGTCCTAAACAAAATTTGATTATGTTTCTACAGTTATTTGCTAATGTACGTATACCTGATGCACAAACTGTTAATGCAGTAATATTGATACACGTAAGATTAGGACAAAATTTTCCGATAATAGTCAATGTGCTTTGACTTAAATAATGAAGTGGCTCATCTAGATCTATTCGCGTTAAAAATCTGCCACATTTTAGCAATATTTTACGAAGTAAAGCTGTGTGAATCATATGGGTGTGTGAGAAACCCCATGTAGAAGGTGAGAGATCCAATGTTTTTATCATATGCCATGAATCTTGGCTTAAATCTCTCCAGCGTTTGCAAACTGTAAATATAATGATGAAACAATATACAAAAAGTCCATCTTCTAGTACAGAGAAGTAAACCAATACAAATCTGTCTCACAGAAATATAAAATCTTTAAAATGCTTATGCTTAAACTCACCTATCTCTATACGAACTCTGTCTACTATTGGCAAAAATAGGAAGATATGTCTTAAGCAATCGTCATTCAGCATATGGATGGATACATTTTCAGTATCATTTTGCAGATACTTGTGAACATACTGTTCCTTTCTTTCAGAAATTTTGTTCAACTCTTTTCCTACATTATACAATCTCTGTTCCATACTGTCAGGTTGATGCCAAGAATCTGCAGCCATCACTCTTAAATCTCTATTATGCAATCTTATTCGTTTCCTACTTCCATCTTGCATCGCTCTACAAACAATTGGTTACAAACCACCATTGTTTGTAAGTAATTTGCTAGTACAGCCTCCTTGAAACTTACGTTATTGCATCTGCCACTTTGGTAAACGTGACGAACGCATAGTTGCTTTTCCCATGGTTTCTACGTAAATAGCAACTCTCAACATTTCCATACATAGAAAAATAATCACGTAAATCCTTGAAAGTTGTCTGGAATAAATTCGTCAGACAAATCAAACAAATACAGTATAATTGTATTAGCGGATTGTTAAAATGTTAAGATTACTGTATTAATTGTAATAATCATCTATAATATACTCTTTGTTTCCTGTTGCTTTTTATCACTTTTTATTTCTTGCCTTTTTGCCTCTTACCCATTTTTTACGTTTTCTGTCACTCGAGATGGAAGTTGACAACTTTGAAAGAGACGAGACAAGACATAACATGTGAAAAATAACGTGATTGCTGATAAAACGGTCGCGAAGAAGGAAAAAGGCACGAGGTAAGAAGTAAGAAACAGGAAGCAACGAACACATAGTAAATTTGGCTTAAAAATTGAGAGAAACAAACCCTTTCAGCCAAATTACTGATGAATAATTTTCGTATCGGTACGCCGTCTATCATTTCCGAATTTAAGCAATCTAGAGCGAAAGGACAGACACGTGAAACTTGTTGGCCAGAGTTTTCGTTGACGATTCAACGCGAATATAAATGCACATGTAACATAAATGCAAACGTAAAAATTTAGGACGCTTACCGTCCGATACAACTAAACCTATGTAACGAAGCATTTCAGCATAATCCAATTCTAAAGTATCGTTCATCATTGATTTAATTTCTATTTCTGACACAAACACCTCTTCGTCTCTTTATTTATATTATACTCGATATCCATCATCCATGAAGTAAGAGAAAAGTGGAGAGAAGGAAACGAATGGCATATCATAGACTCTTGCATAACGCATGATGCATAGTGCATAAAGGAATTAACCAATCGAAATTTTTCTTTTCCAATGGAATGGAAGGAAAAGAAAGATTCTGATTAGTTGATTCGCTTATGCACTATGTATTATGCGTCATGCAAAAGTCTGTGCTGCAATGTGATTTTGTGAAATGGAAATTGAAATAATCAGGCGCCATTTTTCAAAGGAATAGGACTAAATATTAAGATTTCAACCTATCAAGCCGTGTATTCCGATGTAACTGATACCTGATAGGTTGAAATCTTAGAGTTTTCCAACAACGTACGCAAGTAAAATAGGGAGCACAGACTCTTGCATAACGCATAACACGTAATGCATAAGAAATTTAACTAAGCTGCTTTATTTCTTTCTTTGAAAAGAAAAGAAACGAAGGACATTGATTGTTATGCAAAAGTTTGTGCTCCCCTCGTAACACTGTGTCTTACACAAAGTGTTCCAACCATGACACAGTGTTACACTGCTCGACATAATACAATAAAAAGCTAAGTACGAACGTGTAAAATATGTCAATATTAACTTTTCAAAAAGTTATTTGGTAGCCCTACTTATTTTCCAATAAAACCTTAAAAAATCGCCAATTTAAAAAAAAATATAACTTAAATATAAATAAAAATCATACATCTATTATTGATACGCTAAATATAATTAGAAGAATAGAATGGAAGACTACACGCATTCTGGTGTTACGCTATGAAATTAAACTGTGTCCCAACAAGTATTGGGTCATCTAAAAAGTATCCGCGGTACTTTGTCACTAGATATTGGGTCATCTAAAAAATATCCGCAGTACTTTGTCACTAGATATATGACCATCAACACACATCTAGTGACAAAAAACCGCGGATACTTTTTAGATAACCCAATATATGACTATCAATACACATCTAGTGACAAAAAACCGCGGATACTTTTTAGATGACCCAATATTTTACATAGTGGAATACAGTGGCCTAATTTCCACCGGAGTTTAAACCGGATCAGAATGTAAGAACTAACCAACTACAGTCGAGTATTAGGGTCCTCTGTTAGGGTGAAATCACATGGTGCAGAAAACGACTACGGAATAGAGAATGCATCATAGAGTCAGCGTTACTCCACCAATCAGCGTTATTCCGAATAGATTGATTGTTTCAATGACGCATTCTCTATTCCGCATCCTATTCCATTCCTTTTTCGCATTGTGATTTTACCCTTATAGTTGAACGACGGGGAATGCTCGACTGTAATTGATTGGCTAGGCCAGTATAATGTCTTTGTATCCTAGCAAAGAAAAATCTGAGAAAAGACATGACAGCCCAAAACCTGTAACCGCAAAATGCTGCCGCGCACTACTGTCCTCTGACAAAGTGGATGTAAACTACATAGCAACGTCCACTTTTCTTAGGGTACATCGTCCATTTTTCAAGGAAGTGCTAAATCGATATTTGGTTCATATAATCGTGTCACATGTAGCATAATCATATGAATCAAATATCGATTTATCTTCTTCAGTCTTGAAAAATGGACGATGTACCCTAAGAAAAATAAACGTTGCTATGTACTTATTAGATTTCTCTTTGGGCCTAGCCATACTTCTGTTATACTTTTATTCCCGTATTCAAGTCAAACCTTATACTTAAGGCTTTTTTTAAATTTATCTTTAGATGCTCAGCAGCCAATGAAATAATTCGTAGAGTATTTAAAGATAAATTTAAGGAAATCTTAAATATAAGGCCTGACTATGAATACGAATATTATACTCGGTATTTATTGTACTATTAGATAAAGTATGTATTTTATAATTCGAAATATTTGCATTTTATTTTTATACTTAAATTAAATTAGTGTACAACTTTAATATGCATCAGTGCTTCCAATCGAATTCGCCATAATGTTTATTATACGAAGAAGAAGAAAATGCTTTTAGAGGAATTTATTTCCAAAAAATGCTATCAAAAATAATTATCGATGCGTCAGATTTAAATTAAAAGCTATCGAAAGTAAAAAGACCGGTGTGACGAACTAAATTTGGAGATTTGCTTGATTATGAAGGCTACATCTCCTTCTCAAAGAAACTCGTAACCTTCCTTGAGAAAAGGAAGCTAATAAGGCTCCTTGTCAAGAAAGGTTTATGAAATATGAAATGAGGAACAAGAAATCCTCATTCCTCAAGGAAGGACTGTAAATATGGATAATATTATGCCCGTATTCATAGTCAGACCTTGTACTTAAAGCTTCCTTAAATTTATCTTTAGATACTCTACGAATTATTTCATTGGCTGCTAAGCATCTAAAGATAAATTTAAGGAATTTAAGGAAATTTAAGTACAAGGTCCTTCCCTCCTCTCCTTCTTTCTGACTACGAATACGGGCATTAGACTTCTATTATAAGAGGCTCCGCATAATAAAAGGAACAGAGAACAGAGAATTTCAACCTATCAGATACTGTGTATTCCACAATACATAATTTCTGATAGGTTGAAATTCTTATACTCTGTTCTTTATTCCCTACTCCTTTTATTGTCCCCTTGTTCTCTGTTCTCTGTTCCGAAGAGTCCGCTGAACGCAGCCATTAGAGGATCTCTACTCTTTTGCGAAGGAAGAAAACAAATTTCTCAAACAGATTGTAGCATACGCCGGGCGAACATTATGGTAATTCTTATTTTATTTTGTAAATGCGTTATAAATATGAAGAATCAATGTGTTTTTTTTTCATAAATTTCGAAAAATTGTTTACATTACGAGCTTTATATTCGATTTTGATGAAAGTAATTATAATTATATATAATTTTAGCACAATCACCTCAAAAATAAAATTAAGCTTATTCGATGCGTTTTTGCATGAAATGAAAGAATCTGGCAAAAAAAAAAGCGTCGCTCTGCCCCATGATTCGAGATATTAAGCGTTAAAGTTGATAACTATTGAGGTTAGGAAATCTGTCACAGAAATAATATGAGGGTAATTCTTCAGAAGAGTTACACCGCCCCGAACAAACAAACAAAAATAACATCCTGATCGCTTGGGGCTTAACTGCCTAGAAGTTGCAACTTAGACAGTAAAAGGACTGCTCTAAAAAGATTGTTCTCACACTTCCGTCACCATTGTCTTCATAGATTAGAAATATTTCAAGCGGACGTTCTCTATCTACTTTAAGCATACAATTTCTTTGCATTAGCAGTGAATTTGTGTTTGTAAAACAGAAAATTTGTGTAATTAAAGAATATATACATAGCGCTATATTGAGTGGAAATGACAAATGTCTTAACCTCTAAAGTCTCCAACTTTAACACTTAATAATTCAATTCACGAGGCCAACCGCCGTGGTTTTTTTTTCCTCTCTTTTCTTTTGTTTTAAGTGAAAATTCGTCGAATGAGTATACTTTTTATATGAGATTTTAGGTGACGGGGGAGGGGGAGGAGGGCTATTCTAAATAATTACCTTTTTTTAGCTGCATTCAGCAATGCAAATTTGGGATATCGAAATGCTCTTATATTATAGCATATGTCACATGCACTGTGGGAAAAAGCAGCTTTTCTATATGATTGTACTTTTTCTTTTTTCGACAGGAGAAAATTGACAAGCTCAAACACAGTAATGAAGATATTGATTCATTTGTCCATAGAAAATCAAGCAAAAAATTTAAGTCTAAAAAGAAAAAAGATAAAAAAGAAAATAAAAAACATAAGAAAAAGAGGAAGCATTCATCTTCAAGCAGTGTGAATATTAAAGATTTTATAATTTTTAGTTATTAACATTTACACAAACCTGTAATATGAATGTAATTATATAACATAGATTTTTTTTTTAGAGAAGCGATGATAGCGCAAAATTCGAATGGGTGGAGAGAAAGGCTGAAGATCAAATTGTTGATTGTAGAGCACAAGAAAATCAACTTAAAAGGGACGAATGGATGAATGTGGAAAGTTTTATTCCATATTTATCAGAGCCTAATGTGAAATTACAAGAATTAAAAGAAAAAGACAAAGAGATTTTTCTAAATAAACCAGGACAAAGTAACAGAGAATTGAATCCATATTGGAAAGCTGGAGGCGATGGATTACCTCAAAATAATCCAGGTAGATCTGATAATCTAAAGATCTTGGATGTAAATTGGCTAAAAAAGAGTCTTCGGCGTGCCGAGGAACAAGCTTTACGTGACAATAAATGTTTAGAGAAAGTAGTTGCCGAACGTTGGGGTGTAAGTTAATTAAAAGAGCAATTCGTATATATATATATATATATATATATATTAGGTGTTGGAATTAATTCGTAACGTTTTACAAGTGATGGGAAGTACTTTCATTAATGTATTTTTTAATGCTCATGTGAAATAAATAACATTCTTTCATTTAAAAACGCTACGAATTAATTCCAACACCTAATATATATATACAATTATACTGGATTAATTATTAATGATATAAATAAAACTAATTTTTAGTCCTTAGAAACTGTACAAACAATGATAATTGAATCGGAAAGAATGTCAAATACTCAACAGAATAAATCGTATCATAAAAGATGTTACAACGATAAAAATGATAGAGATTCTCATAGAATTTCTAGTTCGAGAATAAGAAAGCGTTTGAGATCTAAATCAAGATCTAGAAGTAAGGATCGTGCTAGAAAATATAATACATCTGACTACTCGTCACAACATCATACAGGATTGAAGCAAAACTATCACAAACCTAAAGACAACGACAATTATCATCAACAGACTATGCCTGCCAACAGTAGTCGTATAAAAAATTGGAAAAAAAATAAGAGTGATGAAAAGAGATATCCAATTACCGAATTACCTGTGTCCGAGCCAAAACAAGTCGATTTATGGAATATCAATAATAATACGAATAATACGAATGGAATAGATAAAAATAAAGTCGTTGATGTTTTAACCGAAGCGGAAATTAATAAATTAGGAGCAAATATTATAAAAGCTGAATTAATGGGTGATGATGTATGCTTGTTGTTCTATTAAATGCTGTTTATTTTTAACTTACTTATATCTTGAATTTACTTGGAATGATTTATTTATTTAGGAATTAGCAGCGCAACTAAAAATCCAGTTGGAACACGCGAGAAAACATGTTACATCATGTAATACCAGTGTACAAGAGGAGAATGTAATTCTCACAAGAACCGATGCAAAAGGTACATATCTTTCGTTTCAAAATGAAAATAAATAATTGTCACATTGAAATTATATAAAAATGTATGTATTAGGTACTGCAAGACCGATACAACCCAGAAATCAATCTAAATGGGAAAATTACAGAAATAAAAAAACTATCGAGACACATATCTCCGGTGAGAGAGTACGTCATTTCGCAGACGATGATAAATATTCTCTACAAGAAATGGTAAATTATCTAAACGATTGGAATCTCGAAAGATTTTAACGCAACATAACATAAATTTCTATTGCAGTTTCAACGAGAGAAAGGAAGATCCACGATTGAAAATGAAGCAGTGTTCGCTAAACTCGCTTCCAAGGTAAATTGACCGAGTGAATTGAAAATGATACGAATTTGGAATTTAAAAATAATATCTTCCTTTGCAGAATATCAACCATATGGATGATACATTTGAGCAACAAATTGCACGAACAGATTCGGAAGTGAAACAAGACAAGTGGGATCGTGCACAGGCAATTAAAGAACACAAGAATTTATCTAAATGTATGGATAATTGTTCGTGGTGCCTTGATTCGAAAAATATGTTAAAGCATATGATCGTTGCAATGGACTCTGTGATTTGCTTAAGTTTGCCTGCTTGTATTTCCTTGAGTACTGGTCATTGTATATTAACACCTATACAGCATGTGGCGTGTCAATTGCAATTAGATGAAGATGTATGGGATAGATTGATGGTAATTCTTACTTATGTATTTAATATCCAATTCATCTATTGATCTTTGACATGACAATATGAAATTGCATGGTGCATTTCTTTTTACAGGAATTCAAAAGAAAATTAACAAAAATGTTTACGGATGAAGATTTTTATCCGATATTTTTTGAAGTGTACAAAGTACGTAATAAATTTTCACATATGCAATTAGAGTGTATTCCGTTGCCAAAAAAAATTGGCGAGTTGTCACCAATATATTTTAAGGTGAATAAATTATTTTGTTACAATACAAAGATAATATTGCTGTATTTTAAATCGACTTTTATATTATTTGAACTTTTTTTTTCCCCCGTTTTACAGAAAGCTTTGTTGGAGTGTGAAACTGAATGGTCCATGAACAAAAAAATTATTGATTTAACATGTAAAGGTATACGTCATGCCATACCAAATGGTTTATCTTACTTTATGGTCGAATTTGCTTCACATCCTGGCTATGCTCATGTGATCGAGGACGAAGAAATGTTTCCGCAAAATTTTGCCAAGGTGAGATACGATTGTTGAAATTATTCTTGAAAAAAACTTTAGTTTTATAAATATAAATATAAATATAAATTGATGTATGTATGACGATATACGTAGCGCGCGCGTGTGTATTTATATGTAATTTTTTTTTATCTTTTAGGAAATAATAGGAGGAATGTTGGATTTGGATCATAACTTTTGGCGGAAACCAAAAAGAGAAAGATTTGAGGAACAAAGAATAAAAGTATTAGAGTTCACAGAAAAATGGTCGAACTATAAATCGTCGTAATCAAAATAATTGATCATCTTGCATGAAAAAATTATACGGTTGGATGAATTTAAATGTATCATGTATATTTTTCATTTTCTTAAATGAAAACCTATTTTAATCTTTGTAAACACGTGTTTAATGTGTATGTCATATCTAGTTGTATAGAAAACTTTGTAAATTTCTCACTGTAAATCAATTATAAATTATTGTAAGCCAAGGCTATTCAGAAATAATCTTTGTGTTATTATATTATTGTAATTAAATATGATCGAATGATGTGTTAGCAGAGAGAAGCCTGGGAGTGGCCAATTCCCGGAATTTGGCTGTACTTTGTTTCAAAGCGCCTCTATCTCCACAAAATGGACATTGAACTACATAGCTAATGTTCATGATCCAGGTAAAGTTCACGATTTTTTTGATTGTATTCGCTATTCCACAAATTCGGTCCGTTAGACAAAGACGAGCAATCTGTCGGCGCTTGTATATGATTAGTAATAAATCTAAGACTAACTCTACAATGTGCTCTTTGTTTCCTGTTTCTTGCTGTTTGTCTTTGTTTGTCTCTTACCTTTTTAGTCAATAACGGACAAGAGACAAACAGCAAGAAACAGAAAATAAAAAGCACATTGTAGAATTAGCCTAATTGTTACAAGATAACTTACAGTTTTGTCTATCTAACGGACCGAAATTCGTAGACATAACGAAGAATACAACCAAAAATCGTGGACATTACGATCGGATCATGGACAATAGCTACGTAGTTCAATGTCCACATTTTGTGGACATAGAGATGCTTCAAAATAAAGTAACAGCTGAATCTCGCGCATGATCCCTCTCAGGGGTCCTTCTTCTTCTTGTTCGATGTTAATTGGCCCTTGCCGCGGAGTAGCAGCAATTCCGACGATTCAGGGATCCTATTCTTGAAAAGAAATAACGTATACAAAAGTCTAGAGAAATGCTACAGTATACATTACGTATATTATTGTATTATATATTATTTCCTTAGACTTTCGTATATACGTTTCTTTTCAAGAATAGAGCTCCAGGATTCTCTTTGATCAAACTCTGGGTCAAATTCTGAATCGGATTAGTTTAGCTTATTTTTTCCCCTAGATTTTAGCAGTTCCGTTACTAAACCAAGAAGTATTCCGAATCTATCGGCCGTAAAATTCAGTTACTGGCTTCTATTGGTTACGAGTTATAATGGCCGATGGATTTGGAACACTTCTCGGTTTAGTTACGGAACTGTCAATCTCTAGGGAAAAAAATAAGCTAAGCTGAAGCCTTGTGTCCACGATACTAGAAATCGGTCGATACGAGACCTCAGATGAAGAAAGAATTGACCAATCGCAATAGTCATGTGATCAAATTGTTCAAATGTGATTTGTTAATTTTTTCTTTGTCCGAGATCTCGTACCAATTTCTAGCATCATGGACATTGGGCTTAACACGATTCGGAATACACGCTCTGTTTTTCTAGGGGCTCTACATTAAGATGGTGGTGTAATGCAAAAGGCGCCAAAATCTGGCAATCCAGGGTCAGTGCGTGTATATTTTGCCGCGCAAACATATACATATATGTATGTCCTATGTACACATTATGCACGCGCCACATGCATACACGCGCGCGCAGTGCGCACATGATCATTAGATTTTATGATGAATGTGTTAATATTTGTGCGGTGAAGTTGCAATACACATAGAATTTAGAATTTATCGATATTTCGTCACAACGAGTGATCATCATGTGTGATTTGTAGAACAGAAATATCGACAATTGGGTCATTCGTTCACTGCGAAATTTTTTTTCCACACCATTGATTGTGAACGAGGAACAATTTTTCCAGTCAACTCGGAATGTTATTCGATATGTACAATTGGAAAAAAGATCAGTCCATCGTACAGACATCATTGAAACATCGTATCCTTGATACATTTCGTCATTGAAAAATAAATGCTCAGTATGGAACAAAATTTCTTATCAAATTAAAATGTGAGAGTTTGTTATTTATATTTTGCTTGATAATAATCTTCGATATATACATTTTTCTAAACAGTTTGTCACAATTTGTCCATTGTACCGACAATTTGTCATTGCTTTCTACATCTATCATTTATAATATTACGCTTAAAATATTTAATTAAAACTTAAAATATTCAATATTCAGCTATAAAATATTCAATTATTTCAGATTATTATTAAAATGATAGAATCTGATCACAGTGAAATTGAGGCAGAAGACATGGATAGACTACAACTATCGTCTACTTCTGTAGATAACACATCAAAAAAAAGGCCAAGAGATTCTGAAGATGAAATAGATTTATCTAAAAAACGACAATGCTCATTTAATGAACAGTCAGAAATATTAGAGAGCGATAACTCTAAAACTATTTCAGAAAAAAATAATTCAGAGAGATGCTATGTGAAAGTGGAAAGATATAAATTGTATCAAGAAAAACAGCAAAGTGTACAAGAGGTATCTCTATCTGAATCAGACATGGATGGGAAGAATAAGGAGAAACAAGGAGATAATTCAAAGCAAGAAAATGAAAGAGAAACTGAGAATAATATTACTTTAAACAAAAATTCTGAAGAAATAAATATTAAGGAGAAAATTGTGGAAAGCATGGTAATAATACAATAATATACAATGTTACTAATGAAATCTGAGAAAATTTATTCTTTTTTTATATCATGTTTTTTATCATTCTTACCTATTACATTTGTAAATATCTATATAATGTCCTTTCTGTTATGTATAGCAAATTTTTTGACTTTTAGCTATATCTTCTCTCTGATATTTCATAGCATATTTAAACTCACCGTTTTGTAATATTGGAGTTAGCTTGAACATGATGAGACATTCCATTTATTAGATGATTTTAATAGCCATACAATAAACAGGTTATTATGTGATTTTAATTAGTTTTTCTTAATAAAAATAGGATAATTCATTCCAAAAGTGTATTACAAATGTAAGTGTGATGTCTATTCCTGAAAACAAGAAAGAAACAACAGGAGATAATAAAGTTAAAGAAGAAAGTGGCAAAACGATGACTAAAGAGGAAAATAACAAGGAGGATGAAATGAAAAAACGACATATCGTTAAGAAATGTACTGTCGATACAGAAGTGGTAGATGGACTGGAGCTTTTCGTGGAATGTGCGAGTGATAGGGAAGAATCTAGTTCTGAGAGTGAAGATGAAAAAGATGTGAAACCACGACCGAAGACAATAATCGTGAATGCAGAGCCAAATGAATCGGAATTAGACTGTTCGTCAGAAGAAGAAGAGGCTGATTTGCAACAGATCGCCGACACATTGAAGATCAAATCAGAAAAAAGTAGGGAAAAAGCAGCGAAGAAAAAAGGTTCGCGAACAAGTTTTAGTAAATTGAAGACTTCTGGATCAGAGGATAGTCGGAATAGCAATTCAGACGAGGATTATAGTCCACGGATGAAAAAGAAAATGACAAAATCTCCAGCTACGAGAAAATCGACAACCGACAAACATCGCTCGATCGAATCAAAAAGAGGACGAGGTATAAGAAGTTCTCACCCAAAAAATACCGAATGTCTAATGTCCAACGATGAGGATACTACTGCAGCAGAGAAAGCCAATAAAACGACTGAAATTAAGAATGGACTGCAGGGAGAATTATCGAATATGGAATCGTCCAGTAAAGATGATGAAAGTGACAATAATTCCGGAAAAGAAGAAAGATCTATGAAAAGTGGAAGGGGAAGCCGTGGTAATGACGTAAGTTTCTTTCTAACAGATAGATCCTACAAACTTAGATGTATTTTTTTACTGTTGTATGTGTCCAATTTTCAGAAAGGAGATAAACAGATACAGAGATTGAAGAAATATTTAAAGGTTGCTGGTGTGAAAATTCAATCGTATAATCGCATTTGGGCCGATTGTAGGAATAACGCTGCAAAAGTTAATCGTCTGAAGGAATTATTAAAGAAAAACGGTATTAGTGGTAAACCATCGTTGGAAAAATGTAAACGAGTGAGAGAAGAGAATGAAAAGATGAAGGAGGTATCTGAATTGGATATGTCAAACATTATATCTGAAGGTTAATATTACAATTTTGTTGTCTATCTATGTTATATTTATTATATAATGGACATTGCGCGCAACATTGAATTTGTTTTTATTTCAGGACGAATTACGCGCGCACGAAGAAGTATGGATACTGTTAAAAAGACACTTTCAGACACACCATCGCGATATCGAGAACATAACACTTTTAGGCGTATTCAAACTGTTGTTGATAGTGATTCGGAATAGAGGACATAGCATGCTCTCACGATAAATGTTGAATATAATTGTAATATAAATTTAATGGCGAATTCGGCACATATGCACTTAATCCGCTCTAGTGCTGCCCTGACATGCCCTGCAAGTGCAAAACTACTTTAGTGCTATGCCAAATTGCACTGTCAGAAACGTTGCAACATTTTTTGAACTCGTTCGGTTCATTCAATTGGTCTAAATATAAATTCAGCAGTACACTCAGTTTTCATTTGCCAACTACGATAATCTTAACGCACTGAAATAGTGCGCACAAGCCAAATGCATGGTATTGAAAAAGTTCGCACTCGGTGCGCACTAGTGTGGTCTAGTCTGCCGAATTCGCTATTATAAGGCCAGAATCAGACTATATATATATATATATATTGTAGATTAAGATTAAAGATTGAAATTTCACCAATGAAGACAAAGAAATTTTGACTTCTTTTGTTCTAATTGATCAAACTTCAATCTTTCAATCTTCAGTCTCATTCTTCAATGCGTAGTCTGATTCCAGTCTAAGTATTTAAACATCAGAGAACAGGTACCAACAATTGTGTATATATTCGTGCGCGCGCGCGCGCGCGCGCGCGCGCGTGTGTGTGTGTGTGTGTGTGTGTGTACACGCTGTCCTGTCCACATCTATGTAGAATGTTTTGTGTTTTTAAATTTTCATATATCATCAATTATCATTGTTTCTTACATTATAGTGTGCAGTTATCAATTAATAGTAATTTTCATTGCGTACCGCGTGTTACATCAACAATATTAGTCATTAATGTCATTATATCGAACTACTTTCTCTAGCAGCCATTATATTTATCAGTACATTGGGCTTTCTTCTCCAACAAGCATTACATTTATAAATAAAATGTAATCCATCAACGCGCTTCCCATACGCATCTGCGTGCCTAGAAAACCTGACATGACTTATCAGTGAACATTGCAATACATTGATACATGAAAATACGAAGACAAATTTTTATTTTCATCGTATTGATTTATTCCCCTACTTAAGATAAGTTGCTGATATACGAAAGCTTGTATATGAAAAAGGTGATTTTGGAATTTGTATAACACCTATTTGATACGAATAATGATAATTGTGTACATAAATAAGAATAAAAAAAAACGTAAAACAAGAAATTCTATCAGATTTATACTATCAAATGATTGAAATGAGTGACGCGTTTTGCTTAAAAAATAACATATTTTTAAGTACGTATTAGAAATTGATTTGTAGCGTATAATGTATAATGATAAAAAAAATTTATTTTCAAATCTACATGCAGCTTCAGCTAATGTTAAAGACAGCAATTGGAAAAAGCAAATCGAGAGCACAGATCTTTATAGTCTTTCATATCTTCAAATATAATTATAAAAAGCAAAGAAAAATCATACTATTTCTATTATATCTTTCTCTTCAATACAATATCAAAATGCATCCAACTAAATTTTTTACACTTGGTAAGTTAACGTATTTTTTGAAAGTAAAAATTTGTGACGAATCACTTGCTTGACTTTTTATCAAAACACATCGAGCTAAATATTTTTAACAATTGCTTGTATCCAATAAATGATAGAATTATAATTGATTTGCGCCGTAAAATCTCAAGATGTTGATAAATCGATACTTTTATTATGTTATACAATATTCGTGCGAGACGGAATATAGAGCGCCACTTACATCAATATGGTTCCACTTTTTTTTAACTCTTAACAGTATGGCACATTTACCTTTTATGTTTACTTCAAGGCTTATATTTACTTATAATCTGGAAAATTCTAGAATTCTGAGAGAATTTCTTTTTCCCCCCCCCCTTTTTTTATTATTGAAAATGAAAGATTTTCATGGAATTTTATCGGTACTTGAGGGAAATTTTTGAAATGTTATTTTCAAAAATTTAAATTCCGTCTCTTTCTAAAAATATTTGTTTCTTTCAGCGTTTTTCTTTAAAATTATAATGCAAATAGATTGACAATCTATTAGCATATATATGATCATATATATATATATATATATATATATATATACGCATATATATTCGTGAACATTCTCATGTGTTTGCGACTTTTTATCGACAAAATCAGCGGAACAAAATAGTTTCATCATACTACTCCCTATTGATATATTTATCTATATTATGGATTTCACGATCCTCCTAGTTATAGAAAATAATAAATGTAGTCTTGTAAAAAAAATCCCTATCTTGTACTAATTTACAATATATGATTTGTTTGCATTGCTTACACTCCAATTTATTTCAAAGTTATATTAGAAAATTTTTTTAATATCTTATCTAGATTTTTTGAGTAAAAAATATCTGAAAAAAAATTGGGAATTCTTGAGGAATTTTTTTTGCAAGTAAACACTTGATATTTCTTATTTATGTTTTCAATGGATTTACAATTGTATTTTTTTCACAAGAAAAACAACATTGAAAGACGGATTTTTTATCTATTGATTCACTAATTGAAAAACTTGGCGATGCATTCTTTACTGCAAAACAATTTATCTTTCTTTATCGCCATTCTGCCATTGAGTAGATTTCTTTTACAGCTGTAGCAGCAAAAGCAGACTTGAGTTGCATGAAAATTTAAATTTTTTATAGCTACTCCTTGTTGATCAGCAGCAATCACTATATTACAAGCAGCGCATGTTTTTGCGTATGATTTTTGATAGCAAGGAAGGCACAGTGGTCGATCGTTTTCGGTAATATATTGTTGTCCAGCCAATGGCATGTCACAATCCCAACAACAAAAATGCTTCACGTGATAATTGTGTCCCTCTGCAACCGTATACTCCCGTACAAAGATCAACTGCAGAAAAAAACACCATTGTTGAGTAAGTATATAAAATATAATTTTTGAGAATCGTATAATGAAGAATGGTTCACTTACCTCGTCGCAAGCGAAACATCGAGGGATTCCAAGAAACGTGGCCAAATCTCTTCCGCAATACAAGTTACTCTTGTAATAAAAATACACGAGATCCACCAACAATTCGTTGCATACTGAACAAACGAAACAGCCAGGATGCCAGGATGCGTTATTAGCCTTCTCCGCGATTACGACTACGTCGCCAACGCGAATGTTGTCGTGACATTTTTCGCACTTGTGCACTTTTGTCGAGTCTATCTTTAAACCTTCAATGGCCTCTTGTAGAGAGTCCGTAAGTTGCATATCACCCCCAACGATGTGAGGGAACACTTGGTTTTGTAACTGTTCGGAATGTATCACGGACGATTGCAGGACCGAACTACTTAACTCGACCTGCAACGGATTGGATATACATACATCGATAGGATTTTGCGAATCAGAAATTTCTATTTTTGCCGATAGAACGACATTTGTGGGAACCGTAGATGTGGGATCTCGTATACTGCTTTCCGTAATGGAAATCGCTTTCTGTAATGGAAATGTATCCGTCAGCAACGGGTCGTTATTTGCCGCTTTGTTATTCGACAGCAAGTCGCATCGTGATTTTCGTTCATTTCCTTTGATATTATCAGGTACAATAGTCGAGTCGATTACTTGAGAGTAAGAGACTTTATTGAAAATTTTTCTATCTATTTCTGCTTCGTAAAGATCAGTGCTTCTTACTTTTGCCTTTTCTGCGAGACTTGCCGCAGGGAATAAATTCATAGCAGCGATAATAGGTGATGCCGTCACTACAGGCTTGTCGACATGCAGGATACAAGCAGGATTGTTATTCTCCTCAATTCCGCCATCACGTGGACGTAATATGTCACTTACTGTGTCTAACGGTCGGGAGAATTTAGACACAGCGTACATTGCTGGATTCTTCGTGGCGTTATTATACTTATCAGCAAGTTTCTCCCTTATAAATGTCAATCTCTTCTCGTCCAATGTGCTTCCAATAATATCATTGGCGTGTACAGCACTGGGTGGAAGAAGGGCGTCCGCAAATATCGATTCCGCGGAGAAAACTGTCTCATCATTAATAGCTTCTCCACCATGTACTGCGGTGCACATGGTGGTATCAACGAGATTCGATCGGATCTCTCCGTGTTGCTCGAAAGCATTTCCTCCGCAAGGTACGTAATTTCGACAAGTATGCTTTTCACGAGCGGATACGATTTCTTGCTCAGCGAGATGTGTGAAAATCGAAGAATTAACTATCTTATCATCTACCGTAACATTTTTTTCGTCTACCTGCAATACGGTATCACGTTGAAGGTTTTCATAAATCAATTTCCCTTCGATTGGTTGCGATCTCGCAATATTGCTACCGGCGGACACATTGTATACATCCAATGTACAATTGTACTCTTCTGTACTCTTCATTAAGACCTCATTGTTATTTATGACTGTAGCAGCGGATTGTTTATTTTGACGAGCATACGGACCTTTTATGGCAAAGCTACTCGGCGTACGTAATTGAACACCAGTGGGAAGTATATGAGATTTGTGCTGTGGACTGCACTTTTGCATATCAGTTGCATTGACAGGTGTCATTAGAGAACGGTCGAATGGACGGACACCGAACATCTGTGAAAATAATATCTCTATACTAAAACAAAATGTGTGCTATTTATTATACAAAAATAAATTTGTTAAACTTGCTTTAAGCAAGCCTTCGATAAATCGTATAAATATCTATGGTACTTGTATCATCTTATAAATCTGCAACCATAATCAAGTCATATATAATCAAGTCGCCTTGTTACTTACTTTCGTCACTTTGCCTTGCCCTACATATTTCTTTATGTTTTCCAAATATTTTTCAAATTGTTTCTGCTCTTGCTCGCTAAGTTGATCACAAACTTTATAATCGATATCGTGAAGCGGTAATTGTTTTTGCAATAACTGCCTTCTCAAAACAGCACCAACTGATCCTTTAATCGGCAATTTCTCCGTGGGCAAAGCTTTCATGTAATCCACAGCAAGTTCTTTAGTTGTATCCGGCGGCACCCACTCGAATGTTGTTTCATCGTCATTTTGTTTCTTATTGTTTACTTGCAATCCTAAAGATCAATTTTTCTAATATAAACGCGCACGCATGCACACACACGTACAAAATACTTACGCATGGACTTCTTTTTAAATTTTCCGCTTGATCCAAATAGTAGATCAAATTGTGGGAATTGATCGTCATCGACATCGTGATCGTCCCGACCACATTTACAATTCTTGCAAATTTTTCTCCAGAAATGAAGATCAAGACCAGGACACATGGAATTACAGTTTGTGCATGGTGCACCAGCTCCAGCTTCATGCGCTAAACGTGGCTGAGCAACGTAAGACAATCAATTGATGACTTTCAATCTTAATTTTGTATAGATACCTACGTTACATTCTTTTCCTATCTCTTGAATCAAATTAAATTAAATTACATGTTGAAATGTACCTTTTGCTTACGATTTTCTAGTTCCAATAGCCACTTTGGGCGATTTGTCAGTTCCTCCTCCATCCTTCAGCATGAAGAATACGTACTTAATTGAGCATCAGACTTGTATCTTCAATGTAAACTTATCTTGTGTGTCACTTGATATACACATACAATACAAATGTGCATGAATCATCAAAGCAACTATTTGCACCAATACTCGGAGGTATTAGAGGTATAAACTGTCTCTTCCTTTCAAAAGCTACGTGTACACACACACACACACACACACGCGCGCGCGCGCGCCAGTTTTCACTCCCCTCTACTGCATTATTCCGGCCCCGCCGCGAAGTGGGGACACTCGTTAAAGACTAAACGAAGATATACTTACTGACGAGCACTATGGTCACGCAGAGCATTTTATGAGTATCAAGTGGGACCAAGTGACTTTGCCTTTCATTATATGTACATACATTGATTTGCACATTTGAGCGCGTTTTGTGAATCTTAATAATATAACAAAGATAATGAAAATAAATTCCTCTGAAATCCTTATTTCCTGTATACACAAATAAATATTGTTCATTTGTCACATTTGTCATAAATATGTAACTATTTCTATAATATTTATACTTGTGTAATGATATGAATATCTGTTAATGTAAGCATTGAAGAACTCAAAGGAAAGGAACTAGAAGGAAATGCTAACTGCGTTTACATTTTACACACAAGTTTTATACGTATACTATATATACCTATATTTTTTTTTAGAACACGTATATTAAATTATATCAAAAGAATGAAAAATATATCTCTTAACATGTGTATCTTGTACAATTTATATGTCTAACATTTTCATACTTGAAAAGCCATGTCAAATTCTTCTTGCGATATCTGCAATTAAGTAGAAACATTATATAAAAGTACAAAAGTAGAGTAGAATGACTGGGGCTTATTTTTTTAACACAGAAACTTATTTTTATAACGTAGAAAAAACATATTACCTTCTTTTTCTTAAATTTTTTTATTAATGCTACATCTTTCGCTAACTGTTCAATATCTTCCTCGTTTATTCGTTTTCTCTTCTTTTTATTAGAAATTGTTAAAAATTGTTGTTGTTTCAATTCCTTCCTTTTCTTTCGTTTACTTCGTTTCTCTCGTCTCTCGAGTTTTTTCTTTTTGGTTTCAGACCAGGATTCCACTCGGTTTTGTTTACATTTTTTCTGATTATTTGTCCAAACACCAGTGCTCTGATACTCGTTCAATCTTTTAATTCTGCACAATTCACGTTGTTTGTGTACATAAGGTATCGTGTTTACATCAATTTCAGGACCAATAAAAGATGATAAATTCTTCCCTTTGAGCTCCGGCATTTTTGGCATTCTCAAAAGACCGAAACCCATCGCCAATTTTCCCAAATCAATATCTTTTAACTGAAGAATTAAATTACATTCGTGTTTATTATACGCCTGCACGTATGAAACAAAGGCACGATTGGCTTTATCAAACATAAGTCGATCCCTTTGTTGCATCCGCCTCATGCACTGTAAGCATTCATCAATAGTTTCCTCGTTTAATTCTCTTTCCATCTGACGTAGCTCGACTTTTTGATTTCTTTTAATGAAATCTACATATGCACTCTCTGTTTCTAGAAGAAATAGCAATGCGTTTCCTTCATTACCGATTCTCGCAGTTCTACCGCATCTATATGATAAAAAATAAAAATTTAGAAAATAAATCTTTAAAATATTGATATATCTGTTTTCCATGTATGTAATGTAACGCCTATTATGTTACCTATGTACGAAACTGCTTGCTGTACTGGGAGGATCATATTGTAACACCCAGTCTATTTCCGATATATCGATTCCACGAGCCATTACATCTGTGCATATTAAAATGCCATTTTCGGCATATCGAAATTTATCAAACACTTTATATCTCTTACTTTTCATTTTACCGTGTAAGGCAAGTACGTTTATCGATGGTAATAATCTGCAAATATGCATGCGTCTATATACGTATGAAGCGTGTGGTGCGCGCGCGCGTATATGTAACATATGTGTGTTTATTAAACAATTATAATACAATTATTTATACTAGGGATACCCCGGATCGTAAAATTACTGGATATCTGATAGAACAATTATCTTATTGGTAGGAAAATAGCCAGATATTGGATATTTTTCAGACATCTGTTACAAATTCTCCAAAATTAAAAAAAAAAAAAGAAAAGCACACAATTATCCAACTGTGGAACAGGGTTGTTTGCAATATAGTTTCAACATTGCTAAATATTGAAAGTTTGAGTTCACAAATGTTTATGACATTAACAAATTTTTTATGACAGAGATAAATAATAATATTTCAGCATTTTTCGAACAATCTATTTCGATTAGCGATATAAATCATCATAGCTGTGCAAAAACATAAACTGTGCAACAAGTTCAGCTGAAAAGAAAAGAATTCTGCGTCAATGACGCAAACTTTCAATTTAAAATTTCAGCTGGACGTATTACTGGATACTAATGCTATCGATCGGATAGTGAAAAAATACCGGATACTGAATATTTCCTGGATATCCGGTGCATCCCTAAATACAAAGAATATTTTGTCAAATTTGATTTAAAACGTGGGTGCGTCAGGAACTAGATAATTCTAAGTTATAGTTTACGTATACACCAGAATTATCTGCGTGCACAATTCTTGAACGCATCCCATTACTTTCGACAGAAGAGAAAATTAGAAAAAAATCGATTTCTTAAAAAAGCAAATGTGATGTAAAATGAAATATGTTGTAAAAAATGAAATATAAAATTTAGTAGCAAATATAAAAACTGTTTAATATTTAATATTTTTTAATTATGTCCTTACGTCTGTATAACCCGAGTGAAATAATCCACACACGCGCAGGTAGGTAAAAATATCATATACTTTGTTTTAAATCCTACTGAACGTATAAAATCTATTATTACTGGCAATTTATATTCAGGCTGAACAATCGTAAAACTATTTTTTAAATTTACAGGCGTGGAAACGTTAGACTTTTCTTTCACAACAATTAATGCTGGATTTCTCAGTCCCGCTCTGATCAATTGCTCCAGTTCTTTCGTTTGGGTTGCAGAGAATAATCCTGTTCTTCTAAGACGTGGTAAATAGCTTAAAATACTATCTAAAGTCGCCGAAAATCCCAAGTCTAATAATCTATCTGCCTCATCTAATACAAGAAATTCCTAGAAGAATAAGAGTAGATCTAGTTAATAATTCGGGGCTCTGTGTTGTGTAAATGATATTATATTGGATTGGTCAGAAAGTTCGTGTCATTTTTTTAGCCATATTTTTTTAGCACAAAATTGTATTTACAATATCTTCGTCAAAAATAAACGAAATTTAATTTAAAAAAAAATGTTTTGAAGCTTAAAATTTCTAGTTTTGAAAAGTTACTATGTTTTTTGAGTTCCTGTGAGTTTGTTCATTTTTACATACAGAAAACTACGAGGTAAAAGAGATGAAAAATTTAATAAAAGAAGCACTTTGACTTTGTTCTATTGCACAGTATAATAATAACAACAAATATATTAGATTAATATATAATTTTGAACTAGATGTATAATTTTGAAAAAAAACAGCATGAACTTTCTGACCAACCTAATAACAAGAAGATAAGATACATACCAAAGATTTTATATACAGGCCCAAATTAATGTAATTAGACAGGATATCTTTCAATCTACCAGGTGTGGCAACAATAATATTTGCTCCTTTCTTTAATTTTTCTACATCTTTCTGAAGTGTCACACCACCAACCAATAATACTTGCTTTAACAATGGAATTCTTTTTAAGAACTCTTCTAGAATTTCACTAATTTGTATAGCCAATTCTCTTGTAGGACTGACTATTATCGCTCCCACTTCCATAGTCTTCCATTTTTCATTTCGTTTCTATGCACACATAAAAAAAATACACATATGCTTACTTTATACGTAATACAATTATATAAATCTTTAGAATAGCATATATAAATCGTTTTGCTAAATTATACTAAATTTGCCAAAAGGAAGAATAAATTAAAGCACTTTATATTGAAATTAGCTTCTATTTTTAAGTATATCTATAATCAATTAACTCTTTCACTTAATCTTTAGATACAAGCAATATTTTTTTAATACATCGAATGTAATGTATAAAATCAACATTATATATGTATAATGTAAAAGTTTCAAAAAGTATGCAATTTTTTTTAACGTTTAGAAAGATAAATGCACATGATGAAAGATTACTTGTAATATTTCCAATAGAGGAATAAGAAAAGCGAGTGTCTTGCCACTGCCTGTAACTGCTTCTGCCGCAACATCTTTACCATTTAATAATAAAGGTATACAAGCTATCTATATGTAAATACAACAATAGATATATGTAAACAATAGATATATAATCTTTTGCAATATACAACATGTTTCCATTTACATGTATCATTACACACACACACAAACCACGCGCGCGCGCACACACACACACACACACAAAGTATGTGTGGATGTGTGTGCGCGCGCGCACGCGTGTGCATGTGCGTGTATGTATATATATTTATAACCTGAACGGGCGTCATATTGAAAAATCCCAACTGTCTGAGTGTTTTCAATACAGAATCACTTAGTCGCACATCTAACTCCTCCCATTTCTTTGTTTTCATTATGATTGTTTTCTTTTTCTTTTTACTCCCCGTTTATTCCAAAAAAACATTCAAACAATTTCTTCTATTTTTATAAAAATTATATCAATTATGTGGGATCCGCATCATTGATTTATGATGTATTTCAATGTTTTATATTGACCGTTGCAACAAACTCGCGACCGGCTTACTAACTAATGTAGAACCGGCTTTCCATATGCATCCGCAGAATATCGCATATAGTTAAAAAGAGAAAGCTCGCTAAACTATACTCGCTAAACATCATGCTAGCTCGTCCACGTTTTCCACATTCTTAACTAAGGGCACGTTCACACTTTGACGGAAAAGAAAGCGGTAAAGCAGCAGCCAATCAGAACTTGCACTAGTAGTCGATAATTTCTGCTTTTTGTACTGTTTACCCCGGATCTACAATAGATTTTTAATCAACTTTCTACAATAAGCCATTAGTCATAAATCAGAAGTCAGAATCCAAAAATTGATGACTGTGATTGGCCAATTTTTAGCTTCTGACTTCTGATTTATGATCTAAAAGCTTAATGTAAAAAGTTATAAGCTTTAAGCCATAAGGAATGGACGAATCACAATCACTTATTCTTCTCGCATTCGATTGTTATTAGTCAATTTCGTACGCCTTAAAACACCTTAAAACTTAAACACCTATTGTAGATCCGGACTTAGGGCCATAGCACATAAATAACTTAAGGCAGTAAAGTATGGTCTACAATAATTGTCTAACACATCGTCGCCAGTCGCAATGCTTTATGACAGCCAATCAAAAGCATCACTAATTACTATTGACGCTGGCTCACACATCAGCGCGATGTTAATCGCGTGCGACACGCGATATCCAATGAGTGTACAGCTTTATCGATATTTTCATTCTAAAGGTATACTGTTATTGGAGGAATAAGACATAAGCAATAAGGAAATCAACATATTAGATTGGCTTACGTTATGGCCTTATGGACTCTACTGGTCGCAGAAAGTGGGGACAGTTCAATTGCGTACTGTAACAATTGCTCACTGCCAATCACAGTGATTTCTCCGTAGGATATTGGGTTTTTTTTTTGTACTGTGATTGGCTTGTGCGCAATTGAATCATGAGCAATTTCCATACACTCTACGTTTTATACTTAAATGTTTGCTATGACTCTTACTACCAAGCGAATTCTGATTGGCTACTACTTTTCTGCTTCCTGCTTTTCCGTCAAGGTATAAAAATACCCTAATGCACTAGCACGTGTTCCAATTGTATTAAATCTGGATCTAGAATAGATGTTTTAAGTCTTAAGCCATAAAAGAAGGACAAATCATAATCAATTCACCTCGCATTCAGCTGTAATTGATCAATTTCTTATGATTTAAAACATCTATTGTCCCGATTTAATGCTTAATGCAGACTGAACCATGGCGGAAGGAATAACATGACACGGGATAACACAATGTGCTCATTTACAAGCGTCTCTCTCTATATATCATAACGGGCTTTTTACAATAAGCCATTAGTCATAAATCAGAAATCAGAAGCTAAAAATTGACGACTGTGATTGGTCAATTTTTAGCTTCTGACTTCTGATTTATGACTAATGGCTTATTGTAGAAGGCCCATAAATCTCCACCGTCTCTGTTTATATCGCATAAGAGACAAAGCTTCTTTCCTTATTTGATACACATCATAATACGCATCTTAGGGCGCGTTCACACCTTGACGAAAAAGCAGTGATCAATCAGAATTCGCGTTAGTAGTAAGTAGTACAAAAAGCTGAAATTGTAGACTACCTACCCTAGAGTTTTGATTGACTGCTTTTCCGCTTTTTTGTCAAGGTGTGAACGCGCCCTTCGGTTCTCATTCTTATAGAAAGAGAAACATAAAAAGTGTTAATAAGGAAAGATTCAGTATCACGACAGTCAATTTCACGACGCGAAACAGGCCGGTATTCATAGTAGATTCTTACATTTATTAAGACTGTCTTAAGTACAATCTTAAGATGTCATAAGTCAATCCGAGAATTGTATTAGCAATTAACATCTTAGACATTATTTAAGAATTTTAAAATAAAAACAGACTATGAATACCGCCCCATATCGTGTTTCACAATTGACAGCTTTGTCTCTCATGCGTATTCGGCGACATCCATAGAAATGCGTGATCTACAATGGCAGTAGCAGTAATGGATGAGGTTGTAAGAGTAACAAATTGATCAATCACAGTTGAATATGAGAATAATAATCGATTTCCACGCCTATCAACTACTGTTACTGCCCATTGTAGACCATGCAAAAGAGAAACGGCGAAAATTTAGAAAAAGAGTAAATACTGGCCTAGTTTCCACCGAGGGTTTAAACCGGATCAGAATGTAAGAACCAACCAACTACAGTCGAGTATTCCTCTGTTATAGTCGAACGACAGGGGAATGCTCGACTGTAGTTGGTTGGTTCTTATATTATATTTCGGTTTAAATCCTCGGTGGAAATTAGGTCACTGAGCACACATGTTATCCTTTCCACCATGTGGGTAGCCCTTAAATCAAGTAGACAGTAAATGACGCAACCAATTACAAAAGAAATTAAGAGAGAAGAGATGAAGAGGAGAGGGCAAGAGAGAAGGGAGGGAGGAAGAGAAAGAGAGAGAGAGAGGAAATGAAGGGCTTGAAGAAGATACACCAGAAAACTGGTTTTTAACGTATTGATTTTATTTTGATGTTTTTCTTCTTTTTTAAATCTCTTTAATATAAAATCTGTTTAACGATGCCACACATTCAACTATCTCTCTCAGGCAAAAGTTGTTTTTGCTTCCTTCCATTTATATACACGATTAGGTCTAAGGCCGTAGTTGTTTAACTTTCTTTTCCCAATCGGTATCGAGCGTAGACAAAAAATTCATCTGAACGGAGCCTTTTACAAGGGGAATCTGAGATTAATGTTTGAGATTAAAAAAGAAAAAATCAAATATTTTGCACTTCTTTCTTCTACTCGACTCGACATCAGTGTCTTGTATCATCAAATTTCTATAGATCGTTTGATATATACACACACACACACACATATATATATATATATATATCTAGCTCGGAATAAAACGATCTATTTTTTTCTTCCCATTTGTTTTATTTTGTCCCCTTCTTTATTTCGACATCTGTACAACGCGCAAATGAAAATGTTTTCACACATCGTTATACGCATACTTATTACTTCTTACTCTACACATGGTCACGTGACAAATATTAAGTTATCCTTTCAAATCTAAACAATCGAGCGAGTACGGCGCATTCTCTTTATTCTGTGTCACATCTTCGAACGGAATAAAGAGTCTGCATAGCATGAGTTTACGCATATGTAATTCAAATGATGAGATACGATGCTGATGTTCTTTTTACCTCTGATCTCATCCCTTGTCTTAATTGGCAGTATATGCTACGTTCAGATAGATTTCCAAGTCCATGGTATCAAGCATTCGCACGTTTTCACTTGTCGACAAGAGGTACATAATTGGGCGAAGAATTCGTCATTCTAGAATTACGCATTACTTCACTAATTACAAGTCTCTGCTAAGTATGGTTAAAATTATTAAAGGATGTATCATGACATGCGTCGTATAATGAAGTAACAACTGTTGAATGTAAGAAATGATGAAGCTTCGCCATGTTTTCTTTTCTACATCTCGCATATGTATGTACATATACAGAGGCCAATCTTTGGTAATCTGAAGCTAGCGACAAAGTTAATAATATCGAGCTTTTCTCCCTTTTTCTTTCTTTTTTTTTCTGTAACAATGTGCTTCTCTCGTTATTAAATTTCGCGTCTGTTATCGTGTATCATTAGGAAATGAGAAGAAAGGAAAACAAATTGAAAGTACCGAACCATTGGCGATCAGTAAGTATAGTAACACGAGATGTAGAGTTTACTATTGAAACCAATTGTTAAAACTTGGCAAGTAAACTCGACTGTGAAAACGTGCAAATTGTATACATCTCGAATGTCTGCTGTTCGCACCGTTAACGTTAGCACGATTTGTCAGTATGCAAATGTTGTATCTCGCATACTCGATGTAATCTTTCGCATTCAAAGATCCTGCGCGTATCAACATCTCGTAACAAAACTTATTATCAACAAATCGCAGAATCGCATATCTCGCTAGCGTTTTACCCTGCAAACCGTACTCCAGTTTTGTTAGTTATCGCTTGCTTCATTCAAATCTAATTCGAAAAAGTCGTGTGATCGTCCTATCCTCTTTTCTCCGAGTTCTTTCTTAATGAATGGAATCGACACGCAGTCACGGGCAGAAAAATATGCCACATGCCACTTCCATATACCTTATTCTCTCTCACATAATTGCAATAATCATTTCGAGGAAGGGGGGGGGGGGGGGGGGGGGGAAGCCAGAGAAAGGGAAAGGGAGAAAGTATTCGCTCGCGCGCGTGATCAATCTTGTTTTTCCACTTGTTACTTGATATTATAATGTAACGCAAGCTATGTTGTATGTATGAGAAAATTAAAACTGTTGAATTTAAAATACGTCTATTGAACGCGAGCGGCGTATATTTTCTGCACACATTGAGCACTACTCGATAAAATGCACGATCCAAAAGATCATTAAATCTTTCTCCGGTACACATGCTAATCCAATAAAAGTCAACTCGTGGGAATTTTGCGAAATTGCATAATGATAAACTATCATTTTACAATTTTAAAACTTGATTAAAATAATCAAGAAAATTTTTACGGGACTCGATAATACAGGCCATAGGTCATTCAACGATCGACCTACATTTGAAATAACAAGTTACCTTCAAGATGGTCAACGCTCTCTCCAATCATTTAGAATCATTTATAGTACCATACGGGATATCATTGATTTGTGGCTGAAAAATATATAATCGGCCTCTCTTTCCCCCCATTGTAATCAGTAGTAAGTGTATGCGAGAGTTATATAATTTCAAACTGCTCATCAACGCAGAAAGTTGACGATTGATGCTTATTTATATCGATTAGTACATAATTTATATCGATTAGCGATCGATAAATCGAGAATGTGTAATTAAAGCGAGCAGCTCTTCGAGAAAGTTCCAACAATTGACACGCCATCATGAAAGTAACTCAATTTTGAAAGTCTTATCCTACCTTTTCAGAATACTATCGCTCTTCCTTTTCTTCCTTTAATTTATGCTGCGGCTACTGATTGTGCGGTAAAATGACGGGTATAGTCTGCTGCGCACCCGGAGGTGGCTGCGATGGCAGGTATTGCATGTGTTGTGGTGGAATTGACGGTATATGAGATGGAATTATAGGGCACATAATCGG